GGAGCGCCGAGTCCGGCGCGCACCCTGCCTCGCGCCCTCGGGTGGGGACACGCCCCGCGGGGCCCCGGGGAGCGGGTGGGCGCCGCGGACGAGCCGCCCGGGGGGGCTCACGGTCTCCTTCCTTGTGTGTGCCGCGTTTCCCGCGCGTCCGCCGGCGGGCCGCAGGGGACAGCTTCGTGGTGTCCGCGTACGCGAGCGGCTGCAAAGGCGCGGAGGAAACGGAGCGGCGTGCGGGAGGCTGCGCGGAGCACCGCGCGCGGGACAAGCAGGTAGGCGACCCGGCGGCGGGAGGGGTCGCGCGACGGCTGGGCTCGCGGAGCAGGGTTGCACCCCCTTCGCCACGGCCCGGCCCGGATGACTGGCCGGACAGCCTATCCCTCCCCGGCATCTAGTCTTCCCGTGGGGGCTGAGTGGGGGGACCGACCCCGAGTTAGGGGTGGGTTGGGGGCTCCACCCCTTGTGTAGGAGGAGCTGGGTGAGGAAGGGGCTGGAGGGCAGAGCCGGGGGCCCAGTCACTGGCACTGATATCAGTGTCCTAGGCTTGAGGAGTTGGGGGACCGCGCCAGCAGCTTGCATAGTGAAGTTGGCAAGACTTAAGGGTCAACCTTGCCTCCCATCTTTTAGAGGCCTGGGGGCGGAGAGTGTGTTGCAGACAGACGAACTGTGGGAAAACTGGCCACCCAAACCACCAGAGCTACTCAGGAATCCCTGATAGATTAGTGCCTTGTGTAGGAGCAGAGAACCTCTCAGGGCCAGGGCCCTGCGGGGCTTGGATAAAACAGATGTGCTTAGATCTGCCGGGAGGAGGGGAGTGGGCTGTAGGCTGTCACTGATGTTAGGGAGAGCTGGATCAGAGTAGACTGCCCTCCAGCCCTGTGCAGACAGCAAGCTGACTGGGGTCAGGGTCCTCTGTGTCCTCTCTGGAAGGGCTTCCTACTGGTCGATGAATGAAAACTTCTGGCTGTATTTTGAACACTTTGTATGGCTGTGACCTGAGACCCAGGCTCAAATTCATATGTGCTGGACTTTGGATTTGTGGTTCCTGAGAACATCTACACTTGCTGTAGAGGTGGGGTGCATGCTGAGTCCTTGTGGGTCCAGCATGGAGACTCAGGCAGTTATGTGCTGCCCCTCTCCGGAACAGGAAACCGGGCAAGGTGTCCAGACAGCTGCTCAGGCCCGTCTCACTGCCACTTACATTTGCTAAGGAATTGGTTGTTGGTGACTGGGTGATGACTCTGGACAGCTCGGTTCTCAGATGCCTCGTTGGTCAGAAATGTAAAATTGGAGCTGGACTTTGGGAACCTGGGGCTGGCCCTGCCCCTTGGCTGTCAATCTTGAGGGCTCCCTAGCAGGAAATGTGGGCTAGATCTTTGGAGCCCCCAGGTGGGATCCCCAATCAAGAGCAGTGGTGTTCGTAACAGGGCACAATTCGGCCAACACGTGGGAAGTTATGTGTCACTGGGGTGTGGAGCCAGTGTTCTCTCTAGAGAATGAAAGCCCCTGTGTGGCTGTGGGATTACTAGAGTCAGATTGTGATCTTAGGACTCCACACTTTAGGTCATCTTTTTAACAAGTGATATGGACTCTGGCTTACATTTTTTAAAAATTTTATTATTTTTGTTTAATGTGTATGAATGTATTGCCTGCATGTATGTGAGTGCACCTGTGTTGTGCAATGAAATGCCACAGACCTCAAGAGGGCTTCGGATTCCCCTGGAACTGGAGTTAAGGACAGTGCATAGCCGCCATGTGGGTGCTGGGAGTCGAACCCAGGTCCTCTGCAAGAACAGTCAGTGCTCTTAACCACTGAGCCATCTCTCCAGCCCTACATTTTGGGGCCGGGGGGGCTTTTTTCTTGTTTCATGAGTGAGAAAACCTTTCTAAGATGGAAAGAGCAGAATCTCAGAAAGATTGACAGCTTTAGTCACCAAGAGCAACAGCACTGCTTTTCCAGGGATTTCCTTTCCGGGCTGTGGCCCCCGGCAGGGCACTCACTACCTTGAGTTAAGACCCTAGCTCGTGCACTGTCCTTCAGGTCCAGGTGTTCTTGAAACTGAATCCCTGTCCTTGTGACCTGCAGCTTTTGTCCAGGTCCAGGAGGGGCCACTGTCTTCCTACTGTTTCTTCTGCCTGACAAGCTCAGTGGGGACAGTCAGTGTTGGGTTTCTGTCAGTGCTCCTCAAATCCCTCTGTTTCAATGAATAGGTCTGGAGTTCTGCCCAACTTACGTGTCCTCCCTGACCCTGAGGAAGGTTATTCCTGATCACACTGTTTTGGACTCTGCTACCAAGCTGCACAGGTCCTTGCATCTGTGTGCATCTGAAAGTTTCCTGAATGTCGGCATTTGCCCAGGCAGGACTCTACCACCTACCCTGAGAGACAGTCCTGGCTGATCCCGGAAGCTCTGCTGTGTAGCAGGTGTGGCAGGGCCAGTGTGGCTCCCTGCTTATGGGTTTGTTAGCAATAGCTAAATGATGATCTAGAAAGCAGCATGTGACATCAGAGCAACAGTGGTCACAGGCATTAAGATAGCAGTGATGGGGTCGGGGCAGTTGGCCGTAGCTCTTCTCAGAGTGATTGAGGCTCCACAACGCTCCTAGCAGGATGGTCTCCTCAAGTGCGTCACTTGCTCTGCTAGACTGTCTTTAATTTCTCCAGCTCTCCCTGAGGCTGGCAGGAAATTGCTCAGAAGACAAGAGTCTCTGTTTTTTTGTTGTGAATTAAACACAGATTTTCATTAAGCCAGAGGAAGGAACATTCTGCTCACTGCAGCAGTGGGGTTTTAACTTGAACTCTGAAATCTGCCTATGTAGAAGTTGAGGCTGCTGTGAACAGATCTGTGGCTGTGGGCATTCTCTAGCCATCCACATCTGTAGGAGGAAAGGAGGAGGCTACCTGGTCTGCTCAGGGCCGTGTGTGGCTGTCTTGGGCAAACCCCAGCTTCACAAACTACCTCTTAGCTCCACCCATATTGATGTGGTCATCCTCTGTGTGCCAACCTGCCATACTATTCAAGAGGTCGCCTTGGAGGACATGGGAGTGACCGGTGTGAAAAATTTCAAGGGCTGAGCTCTAGACCAGAGCTGAATTCACTGTGCAGGCCTTAGTGTGGCCCGGTCCACAGGCCTCCCTGAACTGGAAAGCTCTCCCATCTAGTCTTCAATGCCTTCTGACTAGTCAGAGTTCTCAGAGGCTGGTGGTGGGGCCTCAGCCCCTCAACTCTGCAACCTCACCTACGGAGTGCACATGCCTCTGCTAGGAGAAAGGAGATATTAACCTTTGAGATACTCATGCTTCCACTACAGTCTGTACACCTCCCTATCCCTGGACAACACAAAAACATGGCACAAGGGCCACAAGACATGTCTGCAGGAGAAACACAGAGCTCCAGGGAGGTGATGGGGACATCATAGCTTCTCAGCTACTGGACTTCGAGTGCCCCACATAAGGAGCAGTTCTTCCCTGGGACTGTCCACAAAACGGCTAAAAGGGAGATCCTGGAAGTGCCAGGGCATGGACAAAGAGGGGCGGCTTGTGTGTGCCACCTGGGCACGAGGCAGCCATCACACATCATTACTGCTTCTGGCTCTCTTAGGTGCCCTCTGTGTGCCTGGCTTTTGGGATGCAGTCTAACTCTGGGAGGCCAGGACAGAAGGACACAGAAGCCCAGGGGTTCACTTAGGTGCAGGTATACCAAGGATAAGTCTGGGGGCCTGTGACCTCAAGGAGCACTGAAGGTCCCCAAGGTCAGGTGACATCACATCCCTGCCCCTCCTGTGCACCTGAAATTGCAGATTTTCTCCAGTGAACCCTACCCATCCTGCACTGAGCTGAGTAGTTCTCACCCCAATGAGCTGAGTAGTTCTCACTGAATATAGGAAGGAAAGGAGGCCTAGGCCTCCAGGCTGTCCTGGTGGTGTTGGAGTCATCTCAGAGGGGCTGAGGCCACATGGACTGGCCGAGCACTATGCATTCAGTGTCTGCCCCTGCTTGTTACTTGGGGGGTACTCAGCCTCTGGGAGACAGTGTATACCTGGGCTCTGCTTTGCTCAGTGACCAGAGCCCTGGTATTTCATGGCAGGAGCTCTGGGACATTGACCATTAGAGGCCACAGTTAGGGTTGTGGCCCTGGTGGACAGGGGACTGAATCCCTAATGTCTACAATAGGACACAGGGCTGATTAGCACAGGCTTTCCCTGTGCAGAGCATTGCTCATCAAAGAGACAGCCCCCAGAATACAAGTTCCTCAAGAGATACCCAGGACGTCCATCAAGTGCTCCCTACTGGGGACAGAGGGAGCAGGCATGTGCAGGCATATTGCCCTCTTCTGCATCAGAAAGTGCCATGCAGAGTGCTTAGGCAGAGACTCTGGGAACAGGGCTCAGGCTGACATCTAGATTTGAGATATTTCATAGGCAGCCAGGACTGAGGCCAGTACCCAAGTAGCACAAATAGATTTCCAAAACAGCTTCAGGTCAACCTGCCCCTGTGCTCAAGGAGATGTACTTTGAGCTTTCTGGAAGTATTAATGAAAGCAAAGACATGGCTTCACCCTACCCTCATCAATAGGAGGTAAGCCACCATGGGAAGGGTGTCACCTCTCAGGAACTCGCGCCACTTCCTCCACTTTTACTGGTGGCTGAATAATTTTTCTCAGTAATATTTTGTGGTTTTCTGTATGAAAATCTTGGCCTTTATGTGCGTGGGGGAGGGTGTGATGGTTGTGGAGGGTACGGGTGCACATGTATGCACACACATGAGGCCAAACATCAACCTCAGAAATTGTTCCTCAGGAGCCATCTGCCTTGTTTTTCTGAGACAGGGTCTCTTCATGGCCTGCATCACTGATTAGACTGTGCTAGGTGGCCAGCAAACCCCAGGGATCTACCTGCCTCCACTTCCCCAGTACTGGAATTGTAAGTGCATACTACCATGTTGGGAATTGAACTCAGGTCCTCATGACTGCTCAGCAGTCACTTTACCAACTAAGCTATGTACCCATCCCATTTTGCCTTTAAAAAATGTGTGTGCGCGCGCGCTCATGCGCATGTATGAGTGTGTACACCACAGCACATCTGTGGATGTCAGAGGACATGTGCTGTTGGTTCTCCCCTTCCACCTTTACATGGTTCTAGTGACTGAGCTTAGATCATCAGGTTGGCACTTCTATTTCCTGAGCCATTTTGTTGGGCCCATTTTGCCTTTTGCCTTTTTTTTTTTTTTAAAGCTCATTGTGGCCGGGAGTGGTGGTGCCCGCCTTTAATCC